TACAGTCAAACGTGAGTGCTGTGGAACTGACTGACGACGCAAAACTGATACACGCAACATCGGATAATGGAAAGTTTATTGCAAATACATGCCCGAGGGCTAATTGCAGGTACAAACAACCTGTATGAAAAAAGAAAAAAAAAAAGGATGGTATGAGAGACTACGTCAAACATTATACAACATTCTACAACATACATTGTACTAGTTTTCTTTTTGAGGCAATGGAAGACGAATTTACCCACTTTTTCTATAATATGTGGGTTCTTTGACTTAAGTATTAAAATTGTTTTCTCGTGGTAGGGGATAGTGGGAAAAAGTAAGGGAGCATTTTGGAAACGGTGGTAAATAATTGTTTTCTGATATCGTCATAAAATATGAACGATTTTCATTCCATTTCATTTGAGGAGCAAACAGAACAATTTTCAAGCAGATGTAGGGGGAACGGTTTTTCCCATTGACTCCCCCCGTAGTTTGGCATCACTGAGGAAATTTAACTACCCTTCTGACAGATACAGAGGGTTGTGTGTTACTCAGAGAAGTCATGTTCCTCACAACATCTGCTTGGAGATGACACGTAGTCAAGACATTTGCATACACTACAGGGCACCCATCAACGCAATCTAAAGGGGCATTAGCACTATGCTACAATGTGTACATGTAAGCGTTACATGACAATCACACAATGAGTACGCAATGACTGTAATGTTATTTGATCATCATCCATAGCATTCGAAGATTTGGGGTATATCAGTTTATTTCTGCGAATTTTGGAAGACGGAATTAGAGTCTATACCATTCAACGAAATTACCCTAACTTATTACTTAAACACGATGACTACATTATTATTCTGTTTTTTTATGCTATAGAGCTCTCTTTTATTCAGGGGCAACATCACATGTAAAGGAATGAAACGCAACACTGCAACAAAGTAAAAGACAAAATATTAAATCAGAGACTTGTCTTGTCTCCTCTCTTCACATTCATCTGTCATCCAAGTTCCGTCATGATAACAGACATATTTAGCCATATTCGGCATGTTGTCCACTGACAAACGGCAAAAAAATCTTGTTTTTTCTTCTTCTAAAATCAGGCAAAAATCAATGCGCGCGTTGATGTCATCCATAAAAATGACTTGCTGTGGCCTTACGACAGGTGCCAAATGACTGTATTTCAGGCGGACTTTATTCTAAACATGGGGGTCACATCCGATATTTAGAGAGGTCAGCCGGCGATGTCGGTTGTATGTTTGATAACATGCCAAAGTTGGACCATGTATCGATCCCTTTTATATTTCCATACCTGGTACGGTTTGCCTTGCACGGAAGCAATCTCAAATATTCTTTTACGGCTAGCCTGGGTACCATACGAATTTTAGTCCGCAACGCTCCAAAAATGTGATTTTTTCACCCATTTTTTCGACCGTTGTGGAGGCAAAATCCGGATGGTACAGCTAGGCTCGATGGTGGTACCCATGCTATTCTAACACCATACAGATACTAGTATTTATATATAGCCTCTACCAGGCTTCGGGAGGCGGCTGGAAAGAGTATAAATCGGCCAAATCGAGCTCGCGAGAGATAACATGCCAAGGGAGTTTTTCTCAGGGAGCGGCTAACTGTTCTCTAGATCTCCAGCAGAAAAACAACTCCCCTGGCATGTTATCTCTCTATTTGGCCGATTTCTAAGACTTTCCAGCCGCCTCCCGAAGCTTGGTACCATCCGGATTTGCTCCGCAACGCTCAAAAAATGTGATTTTTTCACACATTTTTTTCGACCGTTACGGAGGCAAAATCCGGATGGTATTCATGCTATTTTAACGCCATGCAGATACTAGTATGACAAAGCAGTCACGACGGCTGCGTGTTCATCGCCCAATCCACAATCACATCAAGGCTACATGTAGCTGTCTCAGTCTGTCAAGGTTGTCTGTCTGGGGCCGTTAGGAAACCCGGTGAGGAGCCTTTGCGTCAGTTCGGAGAGATAATGACGCATTACGCTAGACTAACGTAATATTCTCGACCTCTTTTTACGATAAAATGCGTCTGACGCATTCATAACGCATTCATAAGGCCTTCACAAAGTGTATGATGCAGATGTCATTACATCTACAGGGTCAATTTGCTGACGTAAACATTTTCCCGCGCGAGTATTTCCTCAGTATATGTATGCACTATGTCGATATCATCAAGTTTCAAGTTTATCTATTTTACCAGGGTATATCTCAGATCCGTGGATCTGTTTTCAGATATCCCTGGGCACGCACTGGGCATTTAAAAAAACACATTCATAAAAATACGTACATACAACACAATGATATACCAATAATGTTACAAAGATGTACAAAACATTGACTATCCATCAGTACTCTGAAATGTAGTTCCTGCTCTCTATATTATGTACGTATTTTAATACGTAAAAGTTAAAAGTTCAGAATGTAAAGTACATGTATATGCCATGTACCCGATAGGGCACCGCTACACGAATCGTTGTGAAATAAAGTTTTGTGATCATTGTGTTGCAGCTTTTATGAATGTATTTTTAAATGCTCAGTGCGTTCTCAGGGATATCTGAAAAACAGATCCACGGATCTGAGATATTCTCTGGTAAAATAAATAAACTTGGAACCTGAAACTTGATGATATCGACATAGTACATGCACTGAGGAAATACATTGTACTCGCGGTCTTAGGAAAAATGCTTACGTCAGCAAATTGACCCTGTAGATGTAATGACATTTGCATCATACACTTTGTGAAGGCCTTATGAATGCGTCGGTCGCATTTTATCGTAAACGGAGGTCGAGAATATTGATAATATCGACATACGTAGTACATACACTATATAAGTGTTACTTGAGTGCAGTGTGTCGCCACCACGTCTTGTCACTATATGTTTTAATAGAAAAAAGTTTTGATTTTGATTGAAAAGCGAAAGGGGTGCGGCAAAGGGTTTTTACAAAGACGACTAGTATCCTGAAGGATTGGTGAAATATTCCATGGTTCAGGGAATGGAACTGATTAATTTTAGAGCCGTCCTCTATCATGTCACTAGGCTCTATCTCTCTACAATAAATTATAATGATAATAATAAAGTGAGATGAGGTGAAACTTCATCGATTGTACGGCCGTGCCAAATTTTGAGGTAAATTGCAGACAGAATTAAAAGATTTACTTTCGGGCAAGTATTTTTATATATACGAAACTATACTATACACCATACGAAAAAGTTGTCCTTCAGAAACATTCCGCATGAGGCCGCATCTAAAAGGTCATCGCGGTGCGCTTGGTGGTAGTCTTGGGAACCTGACCTGCGGTTGCATCTGTGTGTTTTGTTGCCTTTTATGCTAAGTACGAGCTGTTTTCTGATTACTGCCGTAGGTGTTCAAGACTTTCCGGATCTCTTCTTTCGCGCCAAAATCGCTACATATAATGTATAACTTGTTATGCACACGCACGCACACTTGTCAAAATCAGTTAACGCTTGGACGAAGTAAAACTAGAATCACAAGACAACTAACCAAAAATAAAGTTAATCTTTAATAATACGGTGTAAACAGCTGTGTACCTACTTTTAGGTACAGGAACAGGGCTTTAGGTACAAGCATAGGCCTAGAAAGGTTTGCAAGTTATACATGTTGCCAAAAAATGCCAACCGTTTTTAGTGGTAAGTTATCTATGTATGACAGTTTACATATCTTATCTAAAACAAGAGTACTTATAACTTTTCTTGATCTGCTAGTGTTAAAGTTATCTTAAGTGTACAAATGATGTCCACTGGTGTATTATTTGTTATAGTACAGTTGCACCATATGTTCAGATTTGATTTGCTCCTAGATAATTCATTTACAGGTATTATGCACATAGCCCTAGCAACATACAAAATAAATAACACATATTGGAATGTTTTAACAGCAGAACATTGCACCAATGTATTTAGTATTGCAGTCCATCAGTTCAATCAGATCAAATAGTGGTTCGGCCAATGGGAGTGTGGCTGCATGTCCCTCAAATAATTTTGAATCTATATCAGACCACACCAATTTAATTTGTTGGTTCTCGGATTTTCCCAGCAAAATTTTTAAAAGGTCTAGGCATCCTATTATAGCCCCAAATGCTACGATTGGAGCCATGAAGTCAACAAAAAAGGCTAGATTAATATTTAAACAATGAACTTTTAATCAAACTACTGCATTGATAGATGGAAAAACTGTAACAACTAGGAAGAAAAGGACTTTCCTCAACTGTTGGGGGCAAAATGTGAGCATATTTGAGTTGATCCAGAATCTTTTATTTTTTTTCTTAATCAGAAAAGAATGAAGAGGCGACTCCGAGAACTTGCATAAGTGAGAAATTTCCTCATGTGTCAATGTTCGTACAGCACAACTGAGGAGTATTGGTACTAATGGGTTCATGGTTCTAACTGCACATGCGCTGCAGAATGCACTGTGAGTACTATGTCAAAGGTAAATGTCCCCAACTTGTAAACAGCATCATGGACTGTGTGTTTTATTTGTTTTGTCTACGTCTATAGGGCATTCACCTCTTTTTTATGAAGATTTACCACATTTGTGGAAGGATTGACATAACAGGTGACCATCACCTCTTCAAAGATGCCAAACCTGAGACCAGACAGTAAGGTTTGAAACACCAGGAAGGTACCCTACTCTTTTTGATAAGTGTGGTGGGATCTTAAACGTCCGTGGGGTGTAGCTCTTCCAAACACGGGACCTCCATTTAATTTCCTATCCGAGGGACGTCCCTAATCGAAGCTAGAAACTCATTTTGAGGCTAGAAACTCAACCTGAGTGAAGTGAGGAAAGTTGTGTAAAGTGCCTTTCCCAAGGGCACAAGATCAGTGACAAAGTGGGGTTCAAACCTGGGACCTCTTGGTTCCGAGTTGAAGACGCTACTGCTACGCCACACGATCTCACTAAACCTCTGACATATTACCCACAATGTATCACACTGCCCATGCGCAATTGAAACAATGTTACAATAAAGTTCTTCTCTTGGCCTTCTTCAGCCCAGGTGTTCTGCTGTTGCCAGAATCGCCCTTTCCAAGTGCATCTCTAACTCCTCTTCCTGAATGTCATCTGTATCAAAACTTGGCTCAGCCTCAGAGTGTGTATTACTAGTACTACAACAACCAAAGCCCATCTCCAGTCCATCTTCCCTCTCAACCTTGATGCTGACTGTATCATGAGGTGTTCCAGTGTAGTCACAATTGTCAAAATCAACGTTATTGCCTTTGTTAATGTTTGTGCTATACTGAGGACAAGATACGTTTGCGTTGTTAAAACGACATAGGCTCATCTCTAGTCCATCTTCCTTCTCAACCTTGATGTTGACTGCACTGCACCATCTCTGTTGTGAGGACATGCTGTGGTTGTCACTTCTAACAAGGGTCTTCTCCACTTCATCCTCCTGTTTAACATGCATACAGACTGTACCAGAACTTATCTGAGAAGATGCAGTGGTAGGGTCACAGTCATTAAGGTCTATCTCCAGTTCATCCTCGTCCATAAAATCATTGCCAACTTCGCCACAACTTGGCTGAGGAGCTGTGGTGGTGATTTCACGATCACCCAAGTCCTTGATGGGTTTTGCCATTGGTCCTGGTACAAGATACTTAGAACATGTGGTGCTGCTTTCACAATTACTCATGTCTTTGGAAGGCCCCTCCCTTGGTCCTGGTACAAGATACTTTCTTCTCTTTGCCCTGTTAGGTAAGTTTGTGTTGTCAAATCTACAAAGGTTCATCCCCTGTTCATCTTCCTTCTCCACCTTAGTCCTGACTGTGCCACCCCAACTTAGCTGAGAGGTCAAGCTGCTGTTGTGGCCATCTTCTTGTTTGACAGGAATAGGAACTGCACCTGAACATAGCTGAGAGGATGTAATGCAGCTATTACAGTCATTAAGGTCTATCTCTAGTTCATCGTCATCTTTCAAATCTACGCCAACTTCACCAGAAGTTGACTGAGAACATGTGGTGCTGTTTACACAAGTACTTAAGCCATTCATGTCCTTGGCATGTTCCCTCCATGCTTCTGGTATACGATACTTTCTTCTCTTTGCCCTTTTCGTCGAGTTTCTGTCGCTTGTTGGCTGAGAACATGTGGTGCTGTTTTCACAATCACCCATGCCCTGCATGTCCTTGGAAGGTTCCCTCCATGCTTCTGGTATAAAATACTTTCTTTTCTTTGCCCTGTTTGGTGCGTATGGTTTGCTGCTAGGTTTTCTCTCTCTCTGTACATGCAAGGACTTTTGAGTAGCTGTGCAAGGTGCTGATGCTCCACTCTCTGTCAGTTCTACCTGTTGTGTTGGAGTTGTATCACTGTGTATGCCATTGTCGCAATGGCTGCGGTCCTTGTCCAACCCGTCAGGAAATACTGGATCACATTTTTTTGGTTCCTGTACTTGCTTTCTACTCTGCAATTCATCATTTTGTGAAGTCACGGGTACCTGTGTGGTCATTGCAGTTTCATCAGATATATTCTTCTTCTGTGTGGGGCTGGGTCGACATTTTTTGGGAGAATGTGCAGTATCATTGGATACTGGATGATCTTTTGGTGGTTCTTCCTGCACTGTCTTCCTTCTCTTCTTGCGTCTGTGTTTCTGCTCTCCATCGTCTTTTCCAGCTTCCCTGTCAGCATGCGAAAAGTTTTGGGAAGTCACAGGTACCGGTGCGGTCTTTGCGGTTTCAGCGACACTTGTCTTCTGTGTGGGGTTGGTCTTACAGGAAGTTGGTGGTAAAGTGAGTGGACAATTCACAGCACCATTCGATTCTTTGTAGGTTACCGAAGCTGTATCACCAGGCCCTACGTAACTTACTTTGTCATGCACACATTCGTCTGAGGCCCCATGCTCTCTGACAGTTAACCCTTCACTGTCTGTGCCTGACTTCTGAGGCCCAAGCAGCAGGAACCAGAGGAAATCTTTATCACTGCTGAAGCCCTTGTCTGCCATGGAGTCGTTCCACAGAGTCAGTAACCCCCGGTCTAGCAGCAGTGTTTTGTGGGTACTCTGACTGCCGGTGCAGGCTGAAACTGACTTGTCCCCTTTGTAATACCTGCAACAAAGAAAATGCAACTGACTTCATCCCTTTCTCGTATTATCCTTCAGCACACTGAGGTAGCTGTTTGGCTACCAATTCTCTATTGGTTAAGGCCTAGGAAAGAAAATGTTGTGTTTCCTGTTTCCTAACTGACCCTAGAAAAACCTGCTGACCCTAGACTTTTTTGGGGGGTGGACCCCTGCAAGGGACATAAATGATTTTTTTTAGCTGATTGACCTTTTCTAGTTCCATGACCTGAGTGATAAAATGTTGTACAATTGGTTTTCTAACATTGGCATTGAAAATAAAAGTGTCCTCATGAAAGTTTTACTTTGTTAAACTATATCGTATATAAGTATTGTATAAGACCCCTATATAGATATCACGGAAATCTAAAAAAAACAAAAAAACAACACTTTTTTCCAAGGCCTAACCACTAATCCATTGATGCCACACGTATCAAGTAAGGGGTTATGACATGTTGTCATATCTTGAATAGTAAAGCTCTTTATTCATAACCACTTGCTTAACACCAGCCAACATTTCGATGACTGGCCTGATAAACAAGTGGGTGTGAATAGAGTAGCTTTACAGTTACTATTCAATCATTCACCAACCTGATGAAATTATTCACTGATGTTGTCATACCTGTCCAGTAGGAACTTGGCCATCTGGTCGTCTGTGAGCCTCAGTGCCTTACAGGCCCCCTTCCATCGGCTGAGCTGACTCTGCAGGTTGTCCCTGAGGTTCTCGGCTGGCACGTCTGGACTGCTTCTGCCAACCTCCTTTGAGTTTGACACTGAACTCACCTTAACTACTGGAACCTGCTGGGAGGAAATACAAGGAAGCTTGAAATGTTTGCAGTAATTTTACTTTCGTATTCTTTGCTGTGTCCTCTCCAATGCAAATTCATAAGACGAGAGGTATTAATATTACTATGGTACTACAGAATCGTTTCAACTGCAAATACATTTAGCTGCATTCACCATCTACATGTACCTTGAAAATATTAGTCCTCACAACAATAATGAATTTATACTTTTTATAGCGACAATGGGATCCCAGTTGAATGATCACAACATTTGCCTGGCTTAGATTTTACAGCACACCAAATTGAGAGTTTTCATCTTTGACTTAAACAATTGAATTGGTAGTACATATACCATAATGTACATGTAGTGCAGGACAGCACATGTTAGGTTACTTTGAAAACTATCAACATAAAAGCACACTGGAAATATTTCCGGGGACCCAATATGGTAGACATGGTACCATCACTAGAACTTAAATTATATAACATATACACGTATCTGCAACTATATAGCCGGTATAACTGCCCTTCGGCGTAAGGCCACACCAAGTAAATTTTATGGATGACGTCCGCGCGCGCATTGATTTTGGCCTGTTCCTAGAAAACAAGAAATTCCGCTTCCTGTAACTATGACCAAAGAGTCATGACACATGCTTTGTTTCTGCAGGCCTGTAAAAATGTGATGAAAGAAACAGGACAGGACGATAACTGCTGTTCCACCTGATTTATTGTTGTTTTGATGATGAATAAAAGACTTCCTGATTGTTACACTGTGTCACCTCATTCAATTTGTGTCCTAACATTTGTCGTCTCTTAGTATATTTCTAATCTATGCATCTTGTTTTTCAGGGCCCGCCTTGTTTTTTTTTTCCCTCTCGCATTAGATTTAGGGTCTCCAAAGGACGTCATCCATAAAATTTACTTGGTGTGGCCTAACATTTGTAACACGTACCTGGACAGGCTGGACTTGTCCTATGAGAGAATGAGTCAATATAAAGGTATTGACTGGCGTGTTGACTGGCGTGTTGACTGGTGTGTTCACTAACGTGTTCACTGGTATGTTCCCCAGTTTGTTCAGACTGTTCACTGGCGAGCTCACTAGCGTGTTCACACTTGTGTTCACTAGTCCGACTGTGTTCACTGGCGTGTTCACTAGTGTGTTCACTGGCGCATTCACTGCAGTGTTCACTAGCGTGTTCACTGGCATGTTCACTGATGCGTTCACTGGCATGTTCACTGCAGTGTTCACTGGTGTGTTCACTGCTGCAGTCACAGGCACATTCACTGCTGCGTTCACTGGCATGTTTACCGCACTGTTCACTAGTGTGTTCACTGGCATGTTGACTGCAGTGTTCACTAGCGTGTTCACTGGCATGTTCACTGCAGTGTTCACTAGTGTGTTCACTGGCATGTTCACTGCAGTGTTCACTAGTGTGTTCACTGGCACACCTTGAATGATATCCGTACGAACCTGGGAGGAGACATAACATAGAAATGCTATGTTATGAAATACTTTGCAGCCATGACTTAAAATACACAGTCGAACATGCCCAAAGCGACCATCCTGGGGACCATACTAGTATCTATGGAAGGAGGTTGGAGGGGTTTCAATTCTACCTCTATGGTCCATGCAATTTCAGGGGTGCCAGGGTATACAGTTCCAATTTTACGGAATACAGTGCAATCGTATTAGTATACAGTGCAATTTTACAGAATACAGTGCTGTAGTATATTGTGCAAATTATTCCGTAAAATTGCACTATAACGTTATACTCTGGCAACAAACCCCAAAAATATTCTGTATGTGGAAATCTGTCTGATATCAATTTTTACTGCCATTTCATACCACATTTACATAACTTGAAGCATTTGAAATATCAAAACAAGCTACATGAGGAATTGAGGAGTACCTTTATTTTTTGGTACCACCAATAAATAGCTAGAATGCTATCAGGTCATAGGTCACAGTTGTTACACTGCTCACTGTTTACCATTGTATAGATACTAGTACTGTTTTTGTTCAGTTTCTTATTCAAACAAATGAAGTCAATGGCCTAGACCACACATCTGTTACCATGGTAACAGCTAGTGAGAGATTTGATAAGCATCATACCCCACTGTGCTCTAGTGCTGGCTCCTTCGGTTTCAACTTCCGAAGTTCGGGAGCTTTCGCCGGACCAAGGTGACTCATATGCCCCTTCCTTGATATCTCCTCTTCCGTAAACAGTGTCGGAACCGCGTCGTAACAGAGTCGGAGATTGGGAATATTCTTCGAGGCCGTGTTCATCATTTTCGTCATGGTCCTCTCCGAGAAACACCTCTGTTCAAAATGCCGGGAACAGACCCTCCAGATACCGGGGTTTGTGACGACTGGGAAGTGTAGCAGCCACAATTCCAGTTTTTCGGGCGTGATGTCACTGACCAGGTGGTCCCTGATATTTGCCAGCCACTTCTGGCGCATCCCTAGGTCTTTGGGAAAGCTGTGGAAGGTCGCCCTCCCCGTGTTGCAAGCGACACAGCGCACCATCTTTGTCCGGGTGTTTCTCTCTTTCATGGCAAATGGCGGCCTGACTGGGTGACCTCTGACGTCATCGGGTCAACATGACTCCCAGGATTTACTGGTTTGACTACTTTAGGCCAAAGCAAGTAAATTGTATGGATGACATCCCCCGTAGACTTAAAATCTAATGCGATAGGGCGAAAAAACGGGGGGGGGGGGCAAGAGTCTTTCATTTTCAAATTTTGACGTCGTAACGTTAAGGCTAAAAAATTGAAGCTTGTGACAAAACATAATTTAATATCACAACAGATCTTTTATTCTAGGATCTTGTATTCAACAGTATACCTGTCCTTGTAGATGTGTAAAGACCACAATTATCTAGACATTCTAGCAAAAAGGCTAGCCGTACCATCATAGGCAGCTAGTACTGGGTTGGATGGGATGCGATGGAACTTGTCAGTGTCAACATTTGCAATCAAACGCGAACTATTGTTTGCTGGATCCGTGATGGTCTCCGAACCGATAGGAATTTACAGCATAATTGCCCATTTTCCGCATGTTGACCACCGTGAGAGGGCAAAACAATTTCTTTCTTTTTTTTTGGCGAAAATTAATGCGCTCTGATGCCATCCATAAAATTACTTGCTGTGGCCTTAATATATGTTGGTCTGGTCCCGTACATTGCAAGTACATGTATATGGATGGCGTCTGGTGGGCACCCCAAAAACTGATGCGAGTGTGCGAAGAAAAAAAAATCGGTGAAAAAATTGCCCTCATTATCAGGAAGTTGCAATAAAATATGACTGAACACACAGAACATGGTATAACAAACAATACTTTTTTGTGTTGGACCAAAAGTTTTAACTCTAAACCGAAATATCTTCTAGTCTCTACCAGGCTTCAGAGGCGGCTGGAATTTTTGAATTCGTCGTATAACGTTGTAATGATAGTACTGAAAGTTACATATGTGGATGTGGCTGTAGGTATTATATGTACATGTACACAATTTTATTTACTGAACTACTTTTGGTTAACGTCAAATGTTGTGTATGCATATGTTTGATCCAAAAACAGCATGTGCTTGCGGTATACCATTCTTTCTTTAATACAACATTCATTGATAAGATTTCTTTGCAAGTTATATTCTTGAGGACTGACTGCAACACAAAACAATGTATAGAGATACAATACAAACAGTCGTGTAAGTTACTAGTAGCAATATTAATGGTGGCAAGCAGCAGAACAAATCAAAGTATACAATATAAGCTTTCTAGGGTTTGTCTTCTTTTATGGAAGCAGTCGAAGACGAAGTGGCCAACTTTTTCTGCACAGTGGGTGTTATAGTTTTCGTCAGTAACCGTTTGGAAATTATGGTGAGTTTAACTTGGTGGCTTCTTTAATTAAATTCTATCCTGATGAAATGTATTTCGTCTTCCACTGCTTTTGACATACAGTAGTTAGGCCACACCAATTTAATTTGTTGGTTCTCGGATTCGCCTCTTCATGTTTTTTTTCTGATTTGCCAAAAAAAAAAAAGATTCTGGTTCTGAATCATCTCAAAAATATGCTTATATTTTGCTCCCAATAGTTGAGGAAAGTCCTTTTCTTCCTACTTGTTACAGTTTTTCCATCTATCAATGCAGTGGCATGATTAAAAGTTCAAAATCTGTTGTTTAAATATTAACCCAGCCTTTTGTGTTGACTTCATGGCTCATGTCGTAGTATTTGGGGCTATAATAGCATGCCTAAATCTGTTTTTATTATTTTTTTCGCCCTGTCGCTTCATATTTCTTCTGAAAAATCTGAGAACCAACAAATCAAATTGATGTGGGCTTACAAACCTATATACGGTAATGACACACGCATAGTCATCGTTTTGTTACGCCACCAAAGCAAAGTACATTATAATGTAAGAAAAGCAGATAGAGTATACAAATATAAATGATCAAGAGCTATGAAATAAGTAGTTTTGAGACTAGGGAAAATTAGCAGTTATTTAAGTATTTGGTATCTGTCAAAGATATTTCTGAATTGTTTGCCGTGGACGGAAAGAAAATTGACTTAGAAGTATAAAACGGAATGAAATATCATCTTACAGATTACTGATGGTAAAATCTACCAGACAAATACAGAAGCTGGTGTGTTACGACAAAGGACAGTTATACCGGCTAATTATTCAGATACACAGAAATAAGTTGTGTTTCGCCGAATGGCTGTGAGACCGTTTCTCACAGATACAGAAGCCGGTGTGCTAAGCCGAAAGGCTGTTATACCTGCTATACAAAGATGCTAGAAGCTGGTGTGTTACGCCTAGGGGCGGTTATACCGGGTACATGCAGATACAGAGGCTACCTTGTTATACAAAAGGGCGGTTGTACTGGCTACAATAAAGATGCAGAATCCGAAGATGTGTTACGCCTAATTATAATGGCAGTTAATGTTATATCAGCTATATAGATACAGAAGCTATCACTATAACAAGTTACAGAAGTGTGTCACGCCCAATTATAAAGGCAGTCATACATGTTATATCAGCTATACAGATACAGAAGCTGGTGAGTTACGTCCATTGGCCGTCATACAGATACATGTACATTGTGTTTCTATTCAATATTCAAAATATGTGACAAAACAAAATGTAAATAGAAAGGAATACATTTGCAAAGCAAATACATAATGTTTACCTTCGCATATGGTCTGCTCTGTTAATTCTTGCTCAAACACATTCATATATGTTCAGACAGGAGTCTATAGCTAAATCCCTCCTGCTATAAAATTGCAACATGATGTAACCCAACACCAGTTACCATGGTGACAGACGGTCATTGACCTTTTCGGTTTTGGAGAACAGGAAGAAGAGGAAACAGAACAAAAACAACTTGTTTTCCTTCGGTAAACATAATAAAAGATGTCGGCGATACCTTTGCAAAGTTTGTAAATGTGGTGTTGGAATGTGAAGGCCTTGTAAAATACAAATGTGTGATTGCAATACCTTAATATGTATGATGACATATATTTCTCAATTAGAATTCTTTAAGTGATATTATCATATAGCTAGGTACGTGACGTTGACCAATCAGAAGGCTCCATTCCACATTCCTTATGACGCCGTAATGTCACAAATAGAGTCAAAATCGGGTATTTATTCATCCCAAACAATCCATACATTAAACAATCCAAATAATCACCCGCATATGACCTCAGGTGACCCAATAGAACAGGGCTCTAGTTCTAAAAAATCCAAAAATAACTTAAGTTGTGTTCCAATGACCTCGGGTGACTCCCATAAGAGCACCTGTTCCCTGCCTGTGACCCAGATAGACCCAGTGACCTCAGGTGACTCCAGATGGAACTATGTTCTATGTTCTATTCAGCATGTGCATTGTGTCACTTACTGCATCAGTTTGGATAGATTATCGTGTAAGCTATATGATAATAGCGTTAATGGCCCGCCCTTTCTCGGTGAATATGGTGTGATAAAGCCTTGTCAGTTGCTATAACCACCTCATAAAGCCACCTCGTTCGCTGCGCTCACTTGGTGGCTTTATTCTGTGGTTATAGCAACTGACAAGGCTTTATCACACCATATTCACCTCGGGGCGGGTCATTAACCCTTAATTCAATGTCACACAATACAGAAGACAAGAGATTTGTTTTCCTGTTACTGCGACGTTTCAGTTTAAATAGACCAAACTCACTGAGCGCATGGATATCACATAAATTATCTTGTTTTGGCCTGACAATAAATCCCCTTAAGGAAAAGCAATATGGCGTGGAAATATAGTTATCTTATACCCACCGTCAGTCACAACCAACTGTCCACCTGGCCCTAAAGCAACACCAGTTGGACGTGGAACATTAACCACAGTACGGACGAATTTCCCCGCGCTTGTGAACATGTCTACCCGCTGATGTTCGAAGTTCGCCACGATGATGTTACCCAAATCGTCCATGCAAATACCTTGAGGGGATTTCAGTTGGCCCTCACCAAATTTGAATAACATTTTTCCAGAGTAATCATACACACGGACACTGTGGTCAAATACGTCCGTAACAAAGATATTTCCATCGTTGTTGATTGTGACATGTGAGTTGTCCCATTCCGGAACCTTTTTGAAACTATGAAATAAAGTGCCATTGGGTAAGAAGATCAAAATTTCATTATACAAAGCCACGATGATGTTGTCATTTCGGGCGTCTCTAGCAATCCCATTGCGTAACCCCCCGGTTGTGCGAGGGTCTAAAGTGGTTCGTGCACATGCTCTTTCTCCCCGTATGTCATACCGTACCACAGTTACATTACATCTTGTTCCCATAGCACCCCAACGACATCCGCCCGTCCCCCCCAATACCCACAAATCCCCATCCCCATCGACGGTAACATCGCTAGGCTGCATGGGTCCATTCCCACCCGGTACTACCGCTGAAAAGAGTCGGAGGAATTTCCCCTTCATGTCGAAGACCTGGATCTGCTTGTTTATGAAATCCGCCACGACTATCTTGCTGTCGGTAGTAATGGCCACTCCGTAGTTTGCCAAGAATTTTCCCTCTCCTATTCCAGCCCTGCCAAATGTCACGATTCCCCCATAGCTTCCTGCATAGAGAGATTATACAATGTAGCACCTTTTACTTACTACTGGAAACTGGCACCAATTCTTTGTGAATTTTAAGACTCATGAAAAAGCAAAAAAAGTGCAACATACCTTCTTGTAAATAAACCACTCGCACAATATAATGTCTAAGCAAGAGAATATACTTTCTTAATTTAATAAACCAATTAGTAACACTAGAAATGCAATACATGCTTTTGCAGCGGCCATGTAATTATGCATGTATCCAGCCAATGAAACCCCACTATGCCTAATTATGCTAATCAGGAGCTAATTTGCATAATCAACGAGGAATTTCTATAAATCTGCTGTATTCCAAAATAGGCCTATGGAACACTTTGACATATGTAATTGGGAATGTGAGGTACATCAGAATACTAGTATATAGAATATGTCATTGAAGACCTAATTTGCATAATTAATGGCAAATTGCTGTAATTTCATAGTGGTAACTGCCAGGCAGTGCATACTTGCCGCATTTG